GTGCAGAGACTAAACCTTCAGTGGACACTGATTCACTTCCTGTTTCCTTCTCTTCCTCTCCTCCATCTTCACAACCCATTCTCGCAATGCACCCGTTCCTTCGCTACTTGAACGTCTTCCAATGCCACACACGTTGACTTTTTCCTAACCCCTCAAGTCCCGTAGGTGCCTTACCTAGCAGATCCTGATATTTTCTTTCATCGCAAATCATGGCCTAATACAGATGGAGTATCCCGCTGTCCTCGAGGTAATTCGGGGTGAGCTTCAGTTGTTGCTTTCCAGGTTTTTCCCCTGTTGGTGCTTGCTTACAAGAACCAAAATTACACTCGGCTGTTTTCAACCTATCTCAGGCTATAATTTATTGTATTCATTCGGATCCTTTTCTCAGATGGACCTTTAATAAAGTGCCCTTCTTCTATTGCCAATGAATTCCGTACTTGTCAACAATTTGTCGCATACCTCGCTGCATTTACAACTGCAGCCCGTATCCAATTGAATAAGTGTTAACAAAATTTCTTTAATATCTCTCTCTCTTCTCTAGCCTTTTCTACCCAGACTTTGCCTTTCTGTTTTCATCCTTACCACCACCACTTCTTTACATTGGTGATTTTTGATAATGCCCACGCATTTCCTCTGGGGGGGTCTCAAGTGACTCCGACGTGGCATCCATTGGAGGCTTATTCCTCTCGCCTCTCACCCCCTCCATGTTATTCAATACGGGTACTCTCCACCCTCTTTGACCCTCGTACTCCATAACTCTCTCTTGCATATATCTATCAGTCTGCTCTTCCTCTCCATGCACTTGACTCGTTCACCTGTGTCCTGTTCTACCAGACTTACATGACAGCGATCATTTTCTCCGATCATCTTTACTGTTTCCTTCCTATTCACCACCTTTCCGTAGCCCTCGCTGCAATTTTGATCGGGCAAATTGGGATTTCATTTACTAACACCTCACTGCTTTTAGTGAGTTCCTTCTTCATCCTTCCATTGATGACTTCCTACACATCTTCTCGACGTCAGTTTATACCGCTGCTTCTCATTCTATACCCGAACTCTCAGGCAGGCATTCCTCAGAAGTGTCGTGCCTTGGTGTTCTCGTCCGGCTTTGTGCTCGGCAGTACGTTTTGGAAACGTGCTGCATGGGGCAGGTACCGGTACAATAGAACTGCTGAGAGAACTTCATGATTTTATGCAAGAAGCGTGCGATCCCTCGCCGTGTCATCCGTGAAGCTAAACGCACTTGTTGCGAGACTATGTTTCCACCAATCACCTCTGGCATCTATGATGCAGTCTGGAAAAAAGTGGGAAATTGAGTGTGTAATACTCTCCCTGACCCGGCCCTGTTCTACGGGTCGTTGGTGTTGATAGTAGCAAACCTCTCGACGTTGCCATATGAACTTGGCACACAATGGTCCGTATTTCTACCCGAGGGCTCCATCATATGCTCCTCGTTTCTCTCCTCAAGTTCTGCCAGAGAGTTAGTACGCCTTGAACTTTACTTCCCTCAGAGAAGATCAGTAAATGTGCCTTTTTACACTTCAAAGAACTGGGGGCAACGCTCTTCAGCTTGCCGATCATCGGCATCTGGGCCTGACGACATTCATATTCTTATGTATACAAAATTTACATCGGTCAGCCCTTGTAGTCCTCTTACACCTCTTCATCTTATTTGGGCACAAGGAGTTCTTCCCCAGCTGTGTGAAATCTGCCATTGTTCTCCTTTCCGCAAACCGGGTACACAGGACATGATGCTCCCCTATCGCCGCCATCGCCTTACTAGTGCATGTTTGCAAATGATGGAACGTCTCGTAAATCGAGAGGTTTAATGTGTGGTATTTAGAGACACACACATCCTCCGCAAGTGCAATATGGCTTTCGCTAAGGGACGTTCTACCCATAGACCCCCTTACTAATACTCTTGGGTATACGTATGTATCGTAATGCCTTTGGCGAATAATCACACTCCGGTTATTGCCATATTTCTTGACCTTGGAGAAAGGCATATGACACAACTTGGAAGTATAATTTTTGGCCCAGGCCCCATTCCTTAGGCCTCCGAGGCAATCTAACCATCCTTCCTTAAGAACTTTTTAACAGACAGAGCATTTCCGTGTTCGAGTCAAGTAATGTTTCTTATTCACCCTGACTTTCGACCAAGCTGAAGGTGTCCCTCAGGGATGTGTATTCTAAGGCACAACACTGTCTTCTCCTTGCTGATAAATGATTTGGCCTCTGTTCTCCCACCCAAATATTTGGTCATCACTCTATGTTGATGACTTCGCTATTGCTTGTGCAGGCCTGACTTTGGTCATCTTGATTGCAGTTTCTCTCAGCATGCGGTCGACCGTGTTTTCCACTTGGGCCACCACGCATGGGTTTAAATATTTCAAGTGACCAAAACTCGCCAAATTACTTTCACTAGACGCTCTGTTATCTCCGATCATCCTTTGAATCTGCTATGGATCCGTATCCCCGAACGTGATACATTCAGGTTTCTAGGCCTTCTGCTTTGACCGTAGGTTATCTTGAGAAACCTCACAATACCTCTCGAAGGGCAACTTGTCATCACAGCCGGCTAAACCTTCTTAAAACCCTTGCTCATCGTTCCTGGGAGCTGATCGTCGAAACTCTGCTTCGCCTACATACAGTCCAGCCCTCGTTTTAAATCGAAACTCGATTATGGTGACCAGATTTATTCCTCGACCTCTCCTGCTACTCTCTCTAGCCATAACTCTATCCATCACCAAGATTAGCGTTTGTGCCTTGGTGCTTTTCTCTCTTCGCCCTGTTGAGAGCCTCTATACAGAATCGAATGTTCCATACCTGTCTGATCGCCGTGATGCCCATTTGCCTTCGCTACTATGTCGCTCTCACGAATCTACACAATCCTTCCTTTATAGAATGGTCACCGGATATTAGTAGACATTCTTTATTCCGACGCGCGGCCCTGATTTGCTCCGTCCCTTTTCTCTTCGCTACATTCACTCTTGACTATTCCCATCAGTACCACCTTTATATGTTCATGTACGCATCTCACTTTTTCACCATACCCCCCCCCTGGGAAGTTCCAGCTATCGGTCTGATCTTTCTGCCACTCCCTTGCTTCGAAAGCTCAACTGCTACGGTGGCTTCCCGCTACTTTTTCTTGATCACTTCCACTCCCATTCTCATGCCACCGCTGTGTACACAGATGGCTTAGTCTTTCAGACGGCTCGGAATTCGCAGCAGTGTTTCCGACAGGCGTCGTGCTGGGGGCATTTACTACTTCACTACATTTTTACTGCTTGAAGACTGTATGCCATTCTTGGCAGCAACTTAGTCGTATCGCATTTATGCCTGTGTCAATCATTTGTAGTAGTCCTCAGACTCCCCTTAGTTGCTCTACAATCAGGCTATACCGAAAATTTTGATACATCTCATCCCCTAGTTCACCGAATGCCAACTGATGGCTACGCCGTATCTCTACCAAACATAAAGATATGTATTTTGTTGGGGTCCCTGGTCATGTCGACGTACAGGGCAAATGAACAGGCAGACACTGCTGCGCGGTTCAGCAGTACAATGACCGCTACCAATTTCCTATCGAGGTGTTCCATTACGGACTATTTTGCTGCATAGCTACCCACCTTCGCACCGCCGATGGCAGCAACTTGGTCCACTCTGCTCAGATAACAAACTTCATTCTATAAAGCCGAGCATAGGTTACTGGCCGACTTCTTGTCATCATTGCCGGAGGTTTGGGAGACCACTCCTCTCCCACGCCTTTCGCATTGGCACACTCGTCTTACTCATGGGTATTTCATGGAGAGGCACCCTGTTTTCCTCTCTGTGATTAGTGTCAAGTTCCAGTATCGATTATCCACATTCTGTTCGACTAGCCCTCTCTATCAACTAGCACGGCAAGAATTTTACCTCCAACGTCGACTTCATTCTAACTACTCCTCTTTACCATCACCCTTCTTGCTGAAGGACCCTCCTTTTAATCCTGACTCTCTCATTGACTTCTTACAACGACTGCTTTTACTCCACAAACTCTGATGATACTTTTCACACTCCCCACAAACCCTTTCTAGTTTCCAGCGTCTTGCTACCTTACCCTTTCACAGCTCCACTTACCGTCGCAGTTATCCGTAACCAATTACTCTACCATCTCCTTTTGCCACCTATGCCCGTCGCTTCCTTCTCAGCCCTGCAGCGCTGTATAGTCCTTGTGGCTTAGCGCTTCTTTTTGATTATAAATAAGAATGCTCGATGAGGCTTTCATTTTGCATTTATGCATGAATTTGTGAAGCTTTTCCCACAAATACAAACACCCTTATACATATTGTACAAGTTGTCTACACATTGGAACAGTATAATAAATACTAAGACCACACTTTAATAACTTAATACACGACATTTAAAAAGTGCCCAGAGCAATTATTATTATATCAGAATTATTATTTATTAAATTATATAAGAATTAATTGTTTTATAGTCTTATTGCATCAACTCTAGTGAGACAGTGATTTTAGTGTGTGCCTGCATGCCAGCACAGTGTGTAAGTTTATTTAGGTACAGATACACACAAATACAGTTAGAGCATATATAAAATACACAATAACTTTAAAATGCTTGAAATTTTGAAAGTTTCCAGACATTGAGAGATGTGGGGCTTACAGAGGATGTAAACAAAGTGGCATGTGGATGTTGTAATAGTGAATCGGGCAGCTGTATAAACAAGTTTTTGGTTATAATTTGAAGTTTCAATATTAGCAAAGTGCCATGAAATGGGGTGTTCCCTGTGTACAGGTATTTCAGTAGTTTATTTAGCCAATGTATACTTTGTACTTTAAATACATGTGAAAAAATTCCAAAATAAATTTTTAAATAAGAAATTTGCTTTTCTGTTAAATGAAAATGGTTTTACTTATTTGTAACTTTAAAAAATAATCTTTTCAGATGAATATTAATTTTTAAACTAAGTTTATTGATGTAATTCTTTAGTAATGGGTAATTTTAGTCTTCTCATAATTTCTTTTCTATAGCTCGAGACATTCAGAAGTGGGAATATGTTCCGCTTGGTCCATTCCTGGCTAAAAACCTCGGCACAACAATATCTCCGTGGGTAGTAACCATGGAGGCTCTTGCACCCTTTGTTGTGGAAAATTATGTCCAGGACCCACAGCCCTTTTCATACCTTAAACATGAAGATCAGTATAACTATGATATAAAGCTAGAAGTGGGAATTCGCTGTAAGTTTTATTTCTCCAGTTTAGTTTTCTTTATTTATATAATTGATTCAAACATTCTTCCTCAAGTTCATTTCTTCATTACTCTTCAGGCCAAGCCTTATTTTGCTAAGTGTTATATTTGGATGCCTGTTTAATGAATCTGCCAGTCATCTGAGTACTATGTCTGAAAAATAAAAATCACACACTATATTGGCATTTTTGTACTGCATTCTGAACATTTCACTTTATTTTAATGGTAAAACATTTATGCAGCTATTCCTAATTGAACTATGCCTTCAAAACTCTTAATTTAGGTAACTTGAAACCATCCACCATTGATTCAGAAGAGTAATGAAATCAAATTATCAGATGTATACAGTATAAAAGACTTAGGAACATTTTTTGTTCTATTAAAAGCTTTATTACCATTCAGCTTTTCTCCAAAGTGCTTTTTTTTATCTCTTGTCCCAGTTGCTTTTGCATGATGCAGTTTTCTAAACCCCCACACAAATTGCTACATTTTTTATTTTTTCAGCTGATGGTAGTGATCATGTGGGAACTGTGTGTTGCAGCAATTTCCGCAATATGTACTGGACAATGAAGCAACAGCTAGCTCATCACACTGTCACTGGTTGTAACATTTGCACAGGGGATCTCTTGGCTTCTGGCACCATTTCTGGACCAGTGAGTAAAGATTCCAATAATTTAATTATGTAGGTTTTATTCAAAATCTTTTATAAGTCATCCCTGTACTATATACACTATCTGTTGACCACTAACGAAGTACGTATTAGAATAGATGATGCATGCAGTTCAGCAATTAAACATTTGAAAAATGTCAAGTCTTCATAAAGCATTTATTCTACAAGTCAGTCCTTTCAAGCGAGAGAGCCTCATTGTTAATGAAGTGTTCTTGATCCAAGGAATCAAATATACACTTCTTGGACTAAAGCTGATTACCTCCCATACTTCATTTTGTATGACCCTTAAGACCAGTTAAACGTTTCTTTTTTTGCTCGACTTGTTTCTAGTAAATTAAAAACAAGGGGGATAGTTTTAAGAGCATAATTATCAAAACCAAGCACTAAACCCACTAGGGTAATACAGTGTTACTTTAAGAGCATAAAGGGCATATTTTATGCAAGGAATGTACTTTTTCCCCATCTATTGCTTCCCCCCCTTTTTTTTCGGGTACACAATGGAGTTTAGTGCTGGTGATCTTAAAAAAATTTGCAAGTCACTCAGAGCAAGAGCCAGTGGGCCTTCAGCAGTGTTCTTCCATTCTTATATTTAGAATTAGCATAGATTGTCTTGTAAAGAGCTCTTGTATTGTATTCAAGAAGGTGCTAGAAAAAAAAAAAGTAATAAATTTTTCAGCCAAAAGTGTGCACGTGATCTTGCCCTGTAAGTGCTGTGAATTTGTTTTAATATAAATCTGATATTGCATATGCTGTTTGAGCTATGGGTATGGCTGGTTTAGACCTCCTGGTACGTATGTCCCCATAGGGTCAGATGTAAATAGGAGGTCCTTGAACATTGTTTTGCTATACATGAGCATTCTGGGTACATAAGATTACAACTATCATTGTTTTCCCTGACCCTGGACAAATCCTTATGTTTGCTGTGAGGAGTGATAAGTCATCTTAAATGACATGTTACATGACCTGACCATAATTGTATCATGTTCAAGGGAAATTTTTCTTTCATAATTACATGTTATTCTGACCATATAAACTGATGTACAATTGTGCAGTTCGAAAACTTCTAATGCGTATTTGTAAATGCCATTAGATATAATGGTGTAAAGGAAAAAAATAAAATATGAGTAAATTTCCAACATGCTTCCCCTGTATTTAAAAGTACTGTACACAGTACATAATTATGCAACATTGCTATAACTGGTGTACTCCTAGAGGTGCTCTGTTTAGTTCTTGCTTTAATTATTACACATAGCCCTTTCTACCTCAAATCTCTTGCTACCCTCTATCCCTGTACTATCCACTGCCCTGCTGTTCTCCGTACTCTACTAATTATTCCTCTTCCCTTTTGCCACCTGATACCCCTGCTTCCTTCCTACCCTGCAGCGCTGTATAACCCTTGTAGTTTAGCGCTTCTTTTTTGATTATAATAATTTAATCATTACACATTCACAATAGAAAATTGGACTTAAATATATAAATGTATCGAGTAAACTGATTTCCTCACCTGATGAGGCCAGTTATAAATACTGTATATTAACTAATGGAAGTGCTACTTTATGGCTTTCCACCCCCCAAGCTTTGTGTATGCAGGGAATTGGTGAACAATAAGCTCATAAATATTTGCACTAATTTAATCAAGTATTTTTGGCTCTAACAGAGTGAAGATTCATTTGGATCATTGCTAGAGTTGTCATGGCGTGGAAGTAAAACTGTGGACATTGGTAATGGAGCCACGAGGAAGTTCCTGCAGGATGGTGATGAAGTAATTATAACTGGCTATTGCCAAGGAAATGGCTACAAGGTTGGGTTTGGGTCATGCACTGGCAAGCTGCTTCCTGCCCATCCTCTCCAGTGAAGTCTAATCAGTATTTCTAAATTGATTGTGCATATACAGCAGTGGTATATTCTTGTTAGAACGTTTTTTCTTGTACAGTAAGCTTTTTCAAATATGGGCAACTAAATGTTGGTGACAGCAGAAGCAGTGGAGAGGTAAAGATGTATTCAGTCCCTCTAGCCTTGTAGTCTTATCAAAGTCAGACTTTCATTGAGACTGAGCACTCAAGGCTGAGGAACTGATCACCAGATTTTTACCTCTATTGCTTCTGCGGTCTCCAATATTTAGCCACCTCTGTATTTGATTGGAGAAGCCTTCTGTATAGTCAAAAAAAAATTTCAACACAAGATACCTTACTTTTGTATCTGACTTGCTCATCTCCTGGTTGGTATTATATGCCATTAATATAACTGTAGGTGAGAGAATTTAGATTTTAAAGATAAATGTTTATTAGTTTTGCATTTGTCTTTTACACAAATATGTGGCAACTTTATAGAATAAAAATATACTTAAACATGTGTACATTTTTTTCATAAAATGAAAAAATATCCAATAAATTTTGATTATTGAGTTGTACAAAAAAAAGCCCAATAAGAGTACTGTACTGCATATTAAAGCATGACAACTTAAGTACTACAGACAAGCGTTACATTTGGGTATCTGTATTAACATTTTGCACCTACTCAGCAGGCTTCATCAGCATAATACAAAAGTGATTACAATTCTGGGGACAGGCAGAGAGTGAGTTCGAAATGATCAGTCCCTTGACTTTGGTCATTCTCCTAGCCTACTGTATAATCCTCCGGGTTTAGCGCTTCCCCCTTGATTATAATAATAATAATCCTAGCCTACAGCAGAGGCTTGAGACCACAAAACTGTATACTGAAACTGGAAGCAAGGTTTACCATTATTATTATTATAATCAAAAAAGAAGTGCTAAGCCTCAAGGTTTACCAGCTTTGAGAAAAATGTCACAGGCGAAGTAGGTCACGCTAAACAGTTACGAGCAACGTTATCTGTACTATACCAGGGTGTTGCAACATCAGTTTTCATGGTAACATAAAGTTTGGAACAATTATTCAAATCATTTTAGCATGACCTACTTTCATAGTGGGCCCAGCTCCCCGCAACATCCCCAGCTGCTATACTCCACTTTCAATTTCAGTACATGTTGAAGTATGGCTTAAACCTGTTTTTAGAAAGGGTGTAGTCCCCACCCGACCTGGAGCTAAAACTATCGGTCCAACTCACCCCCACCCCATCCACCGTGTATTTATCAACCTATTTTTAAAGCTTAAAACGTTTGGCCTCTAAACGACTCGGGATTTTTTTCCACTCATCCACAACTCATTACCAAACCAGTATTTCCCTATATTTTCCTAAATCTAATTTTCCAATTTAAAAAACATTCTGCGAGTCTGTCTAGGCTGATATTTTCAGCCACTATTTACACCCCTTATTTATTCCCGCTTTTCCCTTGAGGGGGAAAAGGAAGCAGGAATAAATAAAGGGGGTTAAATAGGTGCTGAAAATACTACCTAGACAGGACTCGCAGCAATGGTTTTAAGTTGGAAAAAATTCAGATTCAGGAAGGATATAGGAAAGTACTGGTTTGGTAATAGAGTTGTGGATGAGTGGAACAAACTCCCGAGTACAGTTATAGAGGCCAGAACGTTGTGTAGCTTTAAAAATAGGTTGGATAAATACATGAGTGGATGTGGGTGGGACCTGATAGCTTGAGCTACCAGGTCGGTTGCCGTGTTCCTCCCTTAAGTCAATGTGACCTGACCTGACTAGGTTGGGTGCATTGGCTTAAGCCGGTAGGAAACTTGGACCTGTGTCGCATGGGCCAGTAGGCCTTCTGCAGTGTTCCTTCGTTCTTATGTTCTTATCAAGGACTGATCACAAACTACCTCTCCACTTCTACCATTTTCAGAATTGTAAAAATCTCATTAGATTGATGAAGCCTACTGAGCAGGAAGGAAAAAAAATTGTCAAGATGCAAGTTTTAAGCATCTTCCTCATCAACTTTGATATTGTATACCATATATGATTCATGACTGCAGTATCAAAGACAGCAAGTTTGTATTAAAATGCTTTTTCACCCAATGAGTGTTTATCAAGTAAAAGTATTGTATTTAGGGAGAAGTGTTAAACCCACAGGGGGTCACTAAAGGAAATTTTATAGAACTCATTGGGCAAAATTTAGCTATCTGATTCACAATTGCAGTACTTGATTACAATTGTAGAAAAGGTATCAAGAGTCAACAGGATCTACATCACCGCAATTTTTTTTTTTAATATGTACATGCTGGCAAGCTTTTAATGCACAAAGAACTGGACCTATCCTCTCCTTCCTTGGATTGAACCCGTTTACTTCCACTTTGCCAACCACTACAGGTTTAATAATATGCTACATTTGTGGGGCAGGGTCCCCTCAAGGGAGGTTCCTTGATGCTGGTGAGGGGATCTTGATCTAGGGAATTGGATCTGTGCTCCAGTTCCCTGAATTGAGCCTGAATATCTTCCATCCCCCCCACATGCACTGTATAACCCTACGGGTTTTGCGCTTCCCTGTGATTGTAATAATAATGTGGGGCAGGGTCTGTGCTCCGGTTCCATGAATTGAGTCTGAATACCTTCCATTCCCCCCCTCCCACATGCACTGTATAATCCTATGGGTTTAGTGCTCCCCCATAATAATAATGTGGTGGCAGGGTAATGATAAACCAATAAGGCTCCTATAGAGCACAGGGAATTGTGACAACTGGGTTTGAATCTAAAGGAAGGTCAGGTCTGGTCTAATTCCTTGGATAGAGATATCCTATTATTACATTCATGGTGAAGAGCTGAGCTCACAGGGGTTGCAGTACCTGGGAAGCAATCAGATTTGATCCAAGAAGTGAGGTCCAATTCCTTGGAACAAGAGTCCCTCACTGACATTGAGGGACTGTAGGAGTCATACCACCTAGGGAAATGGGAGGCAATCAGGTTTGATTCAAATACTCTTCAGGGAAGGTGCCTTGGTGCTAGTGAAGAGCTCTTGATGCAAGTAACTGGAACTGCCCTTCTTTTGGATCAAATCTGATTGCCTCCTATTGATTGGTGCAATATGACCCTTAGAGGCTACCACTTCCTCATGAATCTGATAACAGTAATGTACAAATACAATATGCATTTGATTAACCTTCGAAATACATTACAGCCTCTCCTCACTTAACGATGGAGTTTCGTTCCTAAGACCCTCCTTAAATGATAAATGAATTTATCATTAAGCGAGGAGCATACTATAATGGTAGTGAGTTTGTGTTAACCATCTTTTTATTTTAATGTCACCTTTGCACCATTTATAACATTTCTGGTATATTTTTAAATGTTTATACAGTAGTATATCATATAATGAAATAAAAAAGAACAGAAAAAATCAGCTCTAATATACATTATTTAGGTATGAATACTGGTCAGCCCATCGTAAGTCCAAGGCATTGGTAAACGAGCACGTCGTTAAGTGAGGAGAGGCTGTATACTACTATATATTCACTTCGTAAGATTTAAAATATGTATAGAAGATTCATGTAACTGTATGAAGTCAAAGCTTAAAAGATATCTATAATTGCACTTTACATGAATTTATAGCTATGTTATCACATGAAGGAAAAATAAATAGTATCTGAAAGCAAACAAAGACTGGCAATATAATGAGATTCACCAAATGATAAATTCATAAATTACTTTCAATCCTGTGACAATGTACATCAGAAAACAGGGAAAGGCAGAAGAGGTAGAACACACAGAAAGGGGAAAGTCTTAAAAAAGAAGTACCAGCATCTACCTTTAAAATTAAAAAATCCACTCCCCCCCCCCCCAAAAAAACTTTTTAAAAATTACATTCTTTGGGGGAAATGAATGGGGGAGGAAGTGCAAAACCCATTAGGGTCATCATTTCCCCTTGGGATAGGGGAAGCAATCAGGTTTGATCCCAAGGAGAAAATTGGGTTCCAACCCTTTGTAACAGACCCCCTCAAGGAAGGGCGGGAGTAATTTTAAAAATTTGGAGAATATGGGTTTTAAAAATTGTAAACTCACAATGAAATGGAAACCTGCCCTCTCAAAGGGGGGAAATCTTCAACACTAGTTTAGGGGCTCTTATCTAAAAAATTTAAACCCCCTTTCCCTTCAAGGGTTTTTAAACCTGATTTTTTCCCTTTCCCCAGGTGTGTATAAGAAAAACCCCCCTTTTGATTTATTTGTTTTTCCCCTTCCCCCAAAATACAATAAAAAAAAAAAAAAATAATGTGGAAATATGCGGGAAAAGCTAGTGCAACCGGAAACCCTCACAAAGGACCGGGGAACCCAAACCCACGAGCCTGACGTGCAAAATGCATATTTGGGGGGAAGGGAACGGTCTCCCATATGTGCCAGTGACTTAAGTTCTATACAAAACTTTTTGGTTACAGTTCAAGGATGCTGCCAAAAACTCAAAGGGGTTTTAAAAGGGAAAATTTTTAAAAAAAGGGGAGGGAAAGGTCTTTGATGAATGGGGAAAAAAATTGGAAATTTTTTTCACTCCCTTTAAAAAGGCAAAATGATTTGGGAAAACCAGCAAAATATTGAATAAAAAATATGACAAAAAAAAACCCGAAGTTAAAACCTAAAGGAAAAGGCAAGTCTAAAAAAAAAAAGGAAATTTTAGTGCTCTAAATAACTTCAAGTAATGAAGTAACAAAATAAGAGAAAATAATACACAACAAATATGCTCCCTTTATAACTAAAAAGGATTGTAAACCCATTTCCCTTTTTGTTTTAGACTTAACAAATGGGGAAAACTGTTGGGGGGGGTAAAAAAAAAAAAATACAATAAATGCCTGACCCCATTTAGACATCACTAGTTTAAATAAATGGCATTAGGCCTATTTACGATCTACAAAAAAAAATTTAATAAATTTAAGAACATTCTTTTAAAAAAATGAGTACTACAGTATCCCGAGGGCCCTACCCTCTTTCAGGGACAACCTCTGACAGAAAACAGATATCAATCATAAATGACTTTTATCAGACACACTTTTAGCATCTGGCCCCCTATTCCCCTCCACTGACCTACAACAGCAAATGAAGTCCCACTTTACAAATATCTCCAGGGTAGGTACTATTAAAAACCGACCAGTACTTGGAAAAAAAACCCAAAAATGATTTTAATGACATATTAAAAAAGATTTCAAGTAAATTCCTTTGGGCCAACACTTAAACTCAAGTTTTTAATGCCCAAAAAACCCCAAAACATACCAAAGTTTTAAAAAAAAAAAAAAAAAAAAGTGGGGAATCTTAAAAAAAAAAATTTAAAAGTACTACATTTCCCCCAAATCACATTAATACCACTAAACTTCCAAATTTTTTTTTTTTTTTTGGGCCACCTTTCCATCATATCCACAAGAGTTTTAAATGCTTTCTAAGAATGAAATACCTGGGACCCCCACCTTTTTCGATCAGCTCCCAACCAAAAAAAAAATTTTTTTA